TAGCTTGTGAATATAAACCAGTAGTTAGTTATTACATTCACGTGACCATAGTCAACACAATTGGCATTCTGTGCATGGATGCAGATGATAACTGTATACCATTTTAATCTCTATACTGAGTACAAAAAGGTTTAATTTCGTGTATACCAATTTAAATGCATTCGCAACATGACGACAAATTATCGATATCGAATATCAAGATTTTTTTAGTTTATTTTTTAGTTTTGAGAACTAGTTTTGGTTGAAAGGTTTGCAAACAACAAGACGAGGTTTTATTGTAGTAACTCCGTCGTAATTTTGTTGATTTGTCATCAAGATGATACAGTACTGCCTCATTGGCCGAGTGGTCGCAAGTGCGACTGCCGGGCAAGGGGTCTCGGGTTCGATTCCCGGGTCGGGCAAAGTATTACTAGGGTTTTTTAAAAATCTCAGTAGTAGCACGGAGTCTGGAAATGTGCCCGGTATATGGCAATAGGGTCACCACCTATTACATGGGACTCATAACATAAATAGTGAAAAGTGGGTGTTACTTCTATGTGCACCTCTGCCTACCCCTTCGGGGATAAAAGGCGTGATGTTATGTTATGTTATGATACAGTACAGCTACATATTTTAATCCCGGAAGGGGTATAGGTTTTTTTATGGAATAGGAGGCAAACGAGTAGACGAATCATCTGATGGTCAGCGATCCAGCACCGCCAATGGGCACCCGCAACAGCAGAGGAGGAACAGATGGGTTACCGGCCTTTTAAAAATGAATACGTTCTTTTCTTGAAGATTTCAAGGTCGTTATGGTGCACAATACATACATGTGTACAATAATAACAACCAGTTTTTACGATTTACTTTATCGAGTTTTTTATTATAGGAAGGGTCAATTGCCCTATTCCAGACTCCGTGTTCATCAACATCCTATAAACACCCACTGCTGAACAAAGCCTCTTCTCATCCGGAGAAGGTTTGAGCATTAATCACCACGCTTGCTCATTGCGGATTGTCGATATCGAACTTAGATTTAGAAATTATAAGTCCACGTTCCCTCACGATGGTTTCCTTCACCGTTTGTCAGTGGTGTCTAATTAATAAATAGACTCTGTGTTTTTACTGAAAAATGTTTAAACAAATTATTTTATTCAAAAACCCAAGACACAAATTGTAATTGTCGCAAGTGCGACTGCCTATTATTACTGAGTTTTTAAAAATTATCTCAGTAGGTAGTCAGCACGGAGTTTGGAATTGTGTCAGGTATATGGCAATATGCCCGCCCTCTATTACATAGGACCCATAATATAAATAGTGAAAAGTGGCTGTTACATTGTACAGTATAACATTAAGTGCCGTAATGTGATGTTATGATGATGATGATGATAATTATGATGATCCGAGGCCCAAAAAGATTTGTTTATGATTGGTTAGTCCATCATCACTACGACATTGTATGCCTATATTTTAAGTAATTTCAGACTGACTGCATATCCTATGAACCATCCACTGTCATTTGTTTCGCTAACAATTTTCACGTCACACAAAACATTTGAAATCTTAAAAGCATGGCGAATTAATTTACATAATAATTAATGTTTTTGAGTATAGACCACTGGCTTCAGTAAGTAGTGTATCTTCGAATTTGTGTACAAGTGTAATAAAAGTGTGCGAAAAAAATGCCTTGTGGATATTTCAGTCAAACTGCTAAAAGAGTGTTATTTGTAAGTGAAAAAGAAATATCTAATTATTTTGTTTAGATTCCAAAATAGAGATTTTGGATGTTTATATGATTTTGGATGTTTGTATGAGTTTGGATGTTTGTGCAGAAATTATATGTCGTTATGTCCAGTATTACTAGGTATTCGTACAGTGTCTGTAAAGTGACTGCCTCGTTGGTCGAGTGGTCGCAAGTGCGACTACCGGGCAAGGGGTCTCGGGTTCTATTCCCGGGTTTTTGAAAATCACAGTGGTAGTACGGAGTCTAGAATCGTGCCCAGTATATGGCAATTGGCTCACCCCCTATTACATGGGACTCATAACATATATAATGAAAAGTGGGTGTTACATTGTAGTGGCATTAAGTGGCGTAATGTGCATCTTTGCCTACACTTTCGGGGATAAAATGCGTGATGTTATTTTTTATATTTTTCTTTTCGCAAAGTGTGTGGAAAAGAACAGATGAGAAACTTCGTGGTTACTCTTTTTCAAAGTCAAAGTCAAAGCATTTATTTCAATGAAACCATAATTTGGTACTTTTGAAACGTCAACAAATACAAAATAAATAATAGTCTGTCAGTCAGTCCGTCAGTGAAGCTAGTTGAAGCTAGGTGCTCATTCCAAAAAGTAGAATTAAATTTTGAATTGGTTTTAAAGATTTTTCTGGTTTAAAATCCTAATCAAATTCAATACGAAAAATACAAGAAGTTTTTAATGTATTCCTAGTATTTTAAGTTAAAAGTAAGTAAATACATAAATAATTTTGCTTAGTACTAGGTTTTTTTTGTAATTTGAGATCATTTACCGACAAATTCATAGATTACACACTTCACACTAATATAATAGCTAGAATGTTCGCAGGCTATACAAATATTAGTTTTATCTATAGTCTAGTCTCAAAGCTAGCAATTGTCAAAATGTCAAGCTATTTCAAGTACAAAAAATTGAATATGTTTTCTCTTAGACATCGATAAAATCAGAAAAACTAATTAGTATTTAAGTAAAAAAATACAGATTGTGAACGATTTTTATAGTAAATAGAACTTTATGTGGGGTAAAATTAGGTTCACCATTGCTTGTCTTGTCCTTCGGAGAATGACATAGTAAGAAACCACTAAGAAACTGTATATCGTTATGCAAGCACATTTTTATTTATTTTCTATTCAAAATATTTCTACACTTTATGGTATTTAGATAATACATACTTACTTCGACATTCACTTGTCAGATATCAAACAGATGTGGAGATAGGGCGACGATAAAATAATATTATTTATTTGTGAAGGGCCACTTGAATGACCTGTCAATATGATAACAATATTTCCAAAATATAATATTTATCATTAATTCAAAGGTCTGTACATATCACCTGCTTTTCCTTATAGAAGTAGGCAAACCAGGTTATTATACTATAACCAGTTATGTTATTAATCCCATAAACCAGCATACATTGAATACTAATGGTTACCATGACACCAAATAAAATGTATTTTTATTACTTCAGAAATTACTCTATTTTGTAAAGAACCAAAGGGTACAATCGTAGACCACCCCGGATGGGGCCCAATAGGGCTGATGCCGATACGGAGCCGAGGAGGACTTAACGGGTTGTCGGGGCTCCGGCTCAGGAGTAGGAACGGGGTGGTGTTTAGTCAGTAAGAGTCTGACACTCCCTCCCGCCTCAGGAGAAGTCATTCAATGACTTTTCCCCCCTTAAAAAAGGGTACAATCGTCTGAACTAATGAAACGCACTACTTCGTTGATCGAGTAGTTCAGAGCACAGAAATAATAAAAACAAATATTATTAGTAAAAATGCAATCGGGCACCGGTAAGCGCTCTTCACTTACACCATTATAGACCTTATCTCCGATGTTTAGAGACTGCTTTTGTATGAACAAATCTTGTGAATTTTTCATAATCGGACATTAAAAAGATGGTTTTGAGTAATAATTGCCGAGCAAGAGGTCATAGGTTGGATTTTTTGATCTCAAAAGGTATAAAAGTGACTATTCGGTTATCAAAACAAAAATCCTTGTTATTATATGGAGGTAGAAATAGTGTCCGGCGTATCTTTGGCTTATTCTCTATTACATAGAGTTAGACCCATAAAAGAACTAGGTGCAACTGAATTTTAAAAACTCAGTAATACCTACGTTAATTCTAACTTCACTAAAATTATTTAGGTACTTACTTACAACAATTTTCACTTTCATAAGTCATAACTTAATATTTAAAGCTAAATAAACGGTTTGACTTTGATCGCCCACCATTAAAAAACTTACGAATGCATAGCATAATATCTATAATTCGAGGCTAAATCTATCTGAATATTTTTTCTCATCTGTTCAGCTCAATTTGGCGCCAACAATATGAGTTGATCATTCACCTCTCGGTCCTCCTTGACACACTGTGTAGCTGTTTTGTTTAACTTTTTAGTGAGAAACATCAGTATTTATGCTTTGACATGAGATTAGTATCGTCATTGCCATTTGTGAAATCGTGTCCTCTTGTTCTTTAGTCTGTGTTCTTTTTTTGTTTTTTTTTGTTGTGAGCTAGGGTGTTTTATCTTGTATGTTGTTTTAAGTTGTCCTTGTGTATAGGGCTATTAGGTAAGTGAATATTTTATTGGTTCGTTTTTTCGTTGTCCGACTGCCTCGTTGGCCGAGTGGTCGCAAGTGCGCCTGCCGGGCAAGGGGTCTCGGGTTCGATTCCCGGGTCGGGCGAAGTATTACTGGGTTTTTAAAAAAAAATTTAGTATTAGCACGGAGTCTGGAATTGTGCCTGGTATATGGCAATAGGCTCGCCCCCTATTACATGGGACTCATAGCATAAATAGTGAAAAGTGGGTGTTACATTGTACAGTGGCATAATGTGCACCTCTGCCTACCCCTTCGGCGATAAAAGGCGTGATGTTATGTATTTGATGTTGCATTTTGGTTAGTTTTTTGGCAATTTGTTTTTTTGACAAAACTCTCTATAATTTTACTTCTTTATTAAGAGTTTGTAGAGCTAGTTTTCTGTAAACTTGCAAAAGCTACCTTTCTATATTCCATGACGCACTAGTATACTAGGAACAACACCGTCGAAGGACATCAGCTATAGTTAAATGTTAAATAGGTATTCAAATCACTTTCATATCTGGTTCTATTTACATTAATACATAAACAAACAAGTCTGTTACAAATTATTTTAAATCAGTCGTTATGAAAATCATTTAATGTGCTCAAATACAAATACTATTCTTTAAGCCAGTAAGTACATTTTACAATGAACAATAATTCTTTTATTACAGTTGATAATGAAGATCATAGGCGAGTTAGCCCTTGTGGGCGCCATCGCCTCGGTGTTTATTGTGGCCGCGAGAGGGCGCGCCGTAGAGAGGGCAGCTGAAGAGGCTGCCGGGAGAGACTACATGAGAAACCTGGACGAGATTATGTCCAAAGCTAAGAATAAGAAAGTTATTGCAAGCTGGGATTATGAGAGTAATATTACCAAGTACAATGAGGATCGATTGGTGAGTAGTCTTGTCTGAAGTTCAGAAAAATATAGATAGTCAGAAACTGCGTACGGTGCTCTGATTGGCCGGCTCCAGAGAACCAACCAATCACAGTACCGGACGCGGTCTTGTTTCGATTACTTTAGAACAAAACCTTCATGAAATCAATTTTTGTTGTGTCTTAGATCCAAATTCTCTTATATCCCACAGAAACTCGTAAAAACTCCTCAGTAAGTTCAACGAGTGAGGATATAGCTCTTCACTTAAAAAATTTCAATGACCATAACCTATCTATCTGTGGATTTACGTATTTTCGATATAAACTGTACAGAAAATGTGTTAAAATTCTACTTCTATTATGCCTGAATACTCTATTCCCATTTTATGTCGGACTTAATACAAACACATACTTAATACATAATGGTTTTTAACAGAAATTTCTATAATGCATAAACTTTTATCTGATACGGTAATGTTAATTATATCGCCAATAACAAATTAAATTTAACGTGTATTTTATGCAAATGCACTACAAATCACAATCGAACCTGAATCAAACCTGAATCGAAAGCTAATTTCGCCGAATATTTGAGTAGCTTTATGTTTACTTATTTGGAGACCAGTTTTAATATTTCCAAAATATGGGTTCATTGAACTTTGAGAGTGCAATATGCTTTTTAAATTCCCGTTTTGAATGAAATGAATAAATATTCGTAACCAAAATTATTTTGACATGTATTGTTAACTCGTAATTATTGTATCTCGAAGTTCTCCATATACAAAATCACGCTTTGGAACGAGCAGCCGATAATTAATTTTATCTTGTGGTTTCTAAATAACCAATTTTATCTGATTCTTAAGTTTACTTGAAATCAATGCTTTGACCTCGACCAATTCCAGTTGCAAATATCCTTGGAGCTAGCTGAAGAAGAGAAGGAACACTGGAAAGAGACCATGAGCTACCTTTGGCATGAGTACGAAGACCAGGATCTGAAGAGAATGTTCCAGAAGTACACCAAACTTGGCACTTCTGCGCTGCCTGAGGATTTGAATGAGAGATTGATCAATGCTATCAATAATATGCAGTCGACGTATGCTAAAGCCACTATTTGTTCCTATTCTGATAGGACGAAATGTGATCTGCATGTGGAACCTGGTAAGATAATATTTCCATTTGTTTAGCTTGGAGGGTCCTTAATCATTTTTTTAATAAAATAGATTGGTTTTGGTGATCAATCGTCTGATTCAAGTGTTATTTTCAAATTAAATGCGTAAATGCATTAAATGTGGGACAGCCATGCTCCAGTACGTACCACGGCCTCACAGAAAACCGAAGTAAAACAACGCTTGCGTTGTGTTTCGTCGTGTAAGTGAGGTTACCATCGTGAGGCCCAAGTATCCCCCCATTTAGTTATCCCAATCTTCCCAATCCCTGAATCCCTAACAATCCTCAAATTCCTAATCATCAAAAGGCCGGTAACGCACTTGTAACGCCTCTGGTGTTTCGAATGTCCATAGGCGACGCCAATTGCTTACCAGCAGGCGATCCATCTGCTTGTTTATCGGCTTATCCTATACAAAAACACTAATCTTCTTTCAATTGTTGATGAATGTCATTCATAAGCGATTAACTGAGTAAAAGAAAAGGTTCAATTAATAATAAAATACACACCACTGATAGATGATTGAATGATTCCAGAGGTGACAGACATCTTTGCGACCAGTAATGACCCTGAGGAGTTGAAGTACACTTGGCTGGAGTGGCACAAGGCCGCTGGTGCTGCCTCCAAGGGCAACTTTACTGAATACGTCGCTATGGACAATGAGGCTGCTAAGCTGAACGGTATATAACAATGCTATATTACAATTATTCAAAATTATACCTTATACTATTTAGTTTTAAGTTACTTATAGTTCGCTACCTGAAAGACTTAAAACTTTTTTATTTTATTTTAATAGTGTCATGCTCATACCTTATACAGATGTGGACGTATCTCATTGATATAACATGAACATATGAAATCTATGAAGCACTTACAAAGTCTCACAGACCAATCATTATATCTAAATCTCAACCAATTTACTTGCTCCTCTTTCATAACTTATTTATCAAGTCTTAATGTAATTAGAATGAAATTATGAAACCAACATTGTGAATCTAATGCCCTTACTGCCAATTTCAATTACCGATTTCGATCTAAAATCTTTAGATTAAGATCGAATTTTGACATGAGTTTTATAGAAGTTCAGTCAAACATAAGATCGATTATTGAAATTGGTTATTCTTACGTAATCAATTTTCATAATTTTCTACAACCTCTAAAAATACCCCAAATATTTATTTTGCTTCTAATGGTTTCTAAACTATATTTCCAGGTTACGACAGTGTAGCAGAATGGTGGCTAAGCTATTATGAGGCTGATGACAGTGAGGATCAGTTTGCTGCACTCTGGGCCCAAGTCAAGCCTCTGTACCAACAGATCCACGCTTACGTGAGGAGGCACCTGAGACTGAAGTATGGAGAGGACGTCGTGCCTGCTAGGGGACCTATCCCTGCCCATTTGCTAGGTAAAATCAAGGAATAATCATGTCGTTGAAGAACTTACTTTAGCAGAAGATAAACACTAGGTGCAATACGATGCGCTTGAGGATCAAAACAACCAAAGTTTTAATGAATTTTGGAAATTTTGTTAAAAAGAAATGACTGCAACTTATTAACTTATTTATTTTAGGTAATATTTGGGCTCAAACTTGGAATCAAGTTGAGAAGTTCACCAAGCCATACCCTGACAAGCCTGAAATCGACGTTACTAACGCTCTGCGTGCCCAGGTAATTATGATAGAGTGTGTTCTCGCATCGCATCTCAGACCGCTCTCAGACCGCATCTGGCGAATGCTCCGCGAAGGCGATACTCGCGATTTGCTTACGAGCTGCCCGGGAGCTACACGCATGCATTTACAAATTATTATTTTTATGAACATTGTATAAAATGAGCACCAAACCATTGCCGTGACTGATTGATAGACGTGAGATTTCTATTTTCAAAATTACACATAATGTTTAAGAAAGCAGATGCAATCAATAGCCATTATGTTGACTTGATCACATAATCACGGCATGATCACATGTTAGAGTTTCCAATACACTGAAAGCTGTATGTACCGCTTATCGAAAACTCGGAACAAATTAATGATAGGTTCTTTTTCATTTAATTTTGTAATCCTGTTTGTTTTTAATCAATAATTTTAAACTTATCTCATTCTTGTTTTGACTGTATTTCAAATAAACTTTTAAATGTTACAGAACTATACAGCGCTGAAGTTCTTCAAAACTGCAGAGGAATTCTTCACGTCCCTGAACTTGAGTCCCATGCCTGACCTGTTCTGGGAGAGATCCATTATTGAGAAACCCACTGATGGACGAGACATGGTCTGCCATGCTTCTGCCTGGGACTTCTACGACGGTGAAGACTTTAGGTAGGATTTAAAAAACCAACTAGTTAGGCTCGCTTGAAGACTTAAATTCATTTTGAGAGCAATCAATACTGATTAGCCTTATTTTTCTATGTTCTTAGACATCATTGGAGAAAGCCATGCAACATTTATTTGATGATGGGCTAACAGGAGTCATCTTGATCTAATATTGTTTTTTATTTCTTCCAGGATCAGACAATGCACCACCATCACATCAGAATTCTTCAAGACTACGCATCACGAGATGGGTCATATCCAATACTACCTTCAATACAAAGATCAGCCGGTTGTTTATAGGGAGGGTGCTAACCCTGGTATGGAAATAATCAATTTAATATTTAGCATTATTTTTGCTATGGATGTCATTTAACCATTCAGTTATGTCAGTACATTTGTAGACATAAAATTCTTGATTCAACCTGTAATCAGATTTTGGCAATTTTTCTTTGATATTTGTTCAATAACCAGTCTCTTAGCTACTGCGACTAGAAACAACCTTTATAACTCCTGGTAACGGTTAATTATTTCCAGGTTTCCATGAGGCCGTTGGTGACGTCATCGCTCTGTCAGTTTCCACACCAAAGCATTTGAGAGTTATGGGTCTTCTCGAAGATGGCACTGATGATATCGAAACCAACATTAACCAGCTTTATAAAATGGTTAGTCTATAAGTCACGCCACCTATTCACTACAATCACAAAAATTTATTAGTCATTATGCTTTGTTTCTTATTCAGTACTCGACAAAAACATACCTCAAAAATTTATTCTAGTGCATTTGCAGGGATATACTTAAGAACAATACACTAAAAATAGGAAATAAATAGTTTTTCAATATAAAACTTACTTCGTATCATTTTTCTTCCAGGGATTGGAAAAAATTGTCTTCCTACCTTTTGCGTACCTTCTCGATCTATTCCGTTATGGAGTCTTCCGTGGTACCACCTCTCCTGATGAGTACAACTGCCACTATTGGCAACTGAGAGAAGCCCTTCAAGGCGTGGAACCACCAGCACCCAGGTCTGAAGACGACTTCGATCCTGCTGCTAAATACCACATCTCTGCTGATGTGGAATATATGAGGTGAGGAAGATTGTTATTTAGCAAAATGTACTTTCAATATTTATGTGTATTGGATCAATATATAGATTCAGTTGTCTGTTTTTATTTAAACGGTGAAGATTAGCTTTGTCTTCATTAGGTTTTATCCACACGCCACACCTAATCAAAAGTAAAACGATTTGTGTTCTTTTTTTCCAGATACTACATCTCCTACATCATTCAGTTCCAATTCCAACGTTCCCTGTGCCAGATTGCTGGTGAATATGTTCCCGGAGACGAGACTAAACTGCTGTCCAACTGTGACATCTACAAGAATACTGAGGCTGGAAATGCTTTAGGGTAAGTGTTTTTAAAGTCAAAACAGCAAAAAGTTGACTATAGTTAAGAGTAATGAAATGCAGCCATTTTTCATTTTGTTGAACCCTCTGTAATTTTAAAGATAATATTCTTGTTACGACAAAATACCTACTCTCATTTTATACGACATACGTTACCAATTTATTAAATACTTGTCTAAGAAAATATTTATCAAGAAATGAAAAAGTAGCCACCAGTATAAAGGAGTCCCGTTACTTTGCTCCCAAATGTAATTCTGCTAAACGGTAACTGCTTATTCCAAGACGTAGATTCTAATGAAGAAGATAACTTCCACAATGTTTTTCAGTTCATATATACAGAGTATTGGTTACTTATTCTTAATATGAAGTTTGGAATTGTATAATTGTTGCAAAATATAGACTAATCACTATCACATTTCGTTTTTAGTAAAATGCTTCAGCTCGGTTCATCCAAACCCTGGCAAGACGCAATGGAGGCTCTGACAGGACAGCGTAACATGGACGCCAGTGGATTGCTGGAGTACTTTGCTCCTTTACATGACTGGCTTAAGGCGGAGAATGAGAGGACTGGGGAGTTTGTTGGCTGGGAACCTAGTACTGTCCGTAAGTATATGCCTATTAGAATAAATATATACATACATACATGACTGCACGATTGGTGCTGTGGTTGGGCAACCGGCTGCCGTGCAACGTGTCGCGGGTTCGATTCCCGCACGGAACAACACTTTGTGTGATCCACAAATTGTTGTTCTGGGTCTGGGTGTGATGTGTATGTGAACTTGTATGTTTGTAAACGCACCCACGACACAGGAGAAAATCCTAATGTGGGGCAACGTTTAAAAAATCTGGATCTGGATCTGGATACATAACCCCACGCCTGTCTCCCTGGAAAGGCAGAGATTATAGAACTATTAAAATTATTTAATTTTTATGAAAAGAAGGTACTCCTTGGAAGGTTATTCCATGGCCGGTACTGATAGCTTACTATAATCTCGTAGACTTCCAATTTAATAAAAATATCTCATACTCATAGCTGTTGTACTGTTACTTTACTATAACGCCATCTACATTTATACAGAACTATACTTACCACAAGAAGCACACAGATGGCGCGTATAGCAACTCGTTCTAGTTTTATAGAAAAATGATTGTTTTGTTTTTTTGTGAATCTCATGTTATGTTATCAGACCTGAGTCTAGTTTAAGGGTTATAATTGAAAAAGATAATTTTAAAATTTTCAAATCAATAATATTTTACCCCACATATAAATTCTACTTTTCCACAACTTACGATATCTTCATCATCGAAACAATTTGATATTTTTCTTTAAAAACCTGTGATTAATTAAATCAAACGCACATCTTTCCCAAAAGTAGCAAACACATACATAACATTATCTGATTTAGTAGTATATTCTAATTAAATTATTGCGATTTTTTAGCATTCTGCACAGCGGAGCAGCGGTCAGCAATGGAAAGCTCCGGCTTCAACACCAGACTGAAAAAATACGCTTCAATGTAAATGTATTGATATATTCCACCTTATTTATTACGTAATAACATATCATAAAGAACTGATTACGATGTTTTATTTACCTACGTATTACCATTCAATACGCCTTCAACATTGAGTAAATTAATATTGTATACAAATAATTTTTTCATAATCTACGTTTAAGAAAACCGATTTCAACCCCCTCTTTTTTGAAGTCAGTTACCTAATTAATATACTAAAACCTTCACCTAAGTGTAACAAACACTTTTTTGAAAACTGCATCAACATCGGTGCAGCTAATCGCGATATAATTGCGCACATACATATAAACATACACACATACACACAGGTCAAAATAAAAACCTCCTTTTTTGAAGTCAGTTAAAATGGGAAGAGTTCTACCTAGATAGAAATATAATTATTTACACACACATCTACACGTAAAATTTACTCGGAAAATAAGCATTTTATTTTAACAAAGGAAACTTCTTTCACCTCCCTATTCCTTTTTTAAAAATGTAGTTTAAAATTACTTTCATCAGCCATCAAGTCAATTACGTCACAAGTCAATAAACAATTAGTGAAACCTTACAAAATATTCTAGACTACAACAATAAGACTAGAAATAATGTAGACTGTGACAATTGGTAATATCGTAGACTACAATAAGTACACTCTAGACGAACTAAGCACTCAATGACAGGATGTCATACAATTCTTTGTAGCCAATGTCGTAATAGGTTCGACCTCGTGCCAGCAATTTCGCACTACATAAAAAGGTCACTGTAATTGCGCTGTCCCTTTTGGAGATAGTACTTGCAAATTATCAGGTAGGTCTTTCGACCCTCAACTTCCATGCTCTTCTAATATTCTCATTAGAAACGTGAGCTGTGTTTGATGAGGATGGTAAGATGTACTTGAATGGGCCAAGGAAGAAATACTTATATTCGAAAGAATAGTAGCATTGAAAGATACCCTAAGTTTTCTTTTTCGATCTCTTTGACTGGATTTCGGTGATTAGATAATTGTATTGTGAACCTGATTAAAAAGAGTTACCTATGTAGTTGCTTACTCGTTCTTCTACATAGGAGTCTACGTCTTGCCAATGAGCAAGTAGCTACACTTACACGTGACACGTGAAGTAAGTAGTGAAGTAAGAAAAAAAGAAGAAGAAAGAATACAAATAATACGAAAGAGAAACAGCGTAAAGCCAGTCTACAAATTATCACTCTACGATACCTCTCTTTTTACTAACCAAATGTTCCATAGAATTAAAAAGAAACTACAAAACACACATTATGAACCTCATTTTACGTGAGAAAAAGAATTAGGTTAATACAAGCTTTAGACAAAAAATCACCTTCAAATGTGTTACAATGATATCAATGTCACATATCCATTTATTATATTAGTTAATGATTATGGGACGCCATTAATTTGACAGCACTTTGTCTGTGCATACTTCCTGCTACCGAAGGGCATGAATGATAACTACAAAGGTCCCATAATGTATAAGGATGGAACATAAAGTGATGAGAAAGGGTTAATGAATTCAAATAAAACAATAAGATAGTTTTTATGTAAAACGATTACAAAGCATAAGGCATAAAACGAGGTCTGGAGAAAAATATGAAGTAAATAGTAACTAAAAAAAGAAATGAATTGCTTTTACTTTCTTTTTATTTTTAAAAAAACTTGCCCCACGAGTTAGATAACGGCGATCAGGAATTTAATTAAAAAAAGGATTTATTTATTACAAGGTGTTTACTTAATGAATTATCCTACAAGACTGACTTACAATTAAATTATATTAATAAAATAACATAATGCTAAATATGCACTTTAACTTCTACTCGTCATATGTATGCAATTTGATCGGCTTCATCAGCAATCGGTTTAGTGGTGGTACGGGCTGATCGATTGCTTAATTCCTCCCTCCCTAAGCTGGAAGCGAGTCCCGCAGCTTCCTGTAGCGTCCTCGCTACTTGTACTCTCCGATTGAATCTGCTCTGTAGGTCTGGTGTCTGCTGGTTCTCGGGATGCTTGTAGTCTGCGTTGCCTCCATTGGTATAATTTCCAAGTTAAGATTCCGGTGAGGATGAAGTAGAGTCCAAGCGTCGTGAAGCTGGGTGTAGCCATCGTGGTTCTCCAGTCTAGGTCGTCTTCATACAGGATATCTTCTGCACGATCCATCAACTCATGGATGTTGTCTAATGCAATATCTTCTAGCTGTAGATTGTAGTGGATACTCTCCTCTGGTATAAGTGATCCACTTGGTAGCGGGATGATTTCATCTATGGTTATGGCGTCTGTGTTTGTTTTCAGTGTTCTATTAAGGATCTCAAGCTGACAGTCACTTGATATGGTGGCTATCTGGATACCCGAGATCTTCTTATATTCCGTCTTCAATCCACAATGACTTCTAAGGATTTCTTCGTCCTTTAGTATTATCAGCCATTTATTGTCTTCGATTTTCTGGGCTAACCCTCGCTTGAGATTCATTCTGGCTCGTGTACAGTTGGCCGTCTGGTGCTTGACTAGTGATATTATGCAGTCTTCAGATTTATCCAGGGGTTGAGTGTTGAGTGATGTGCACAGATGGGTGTCTTGGGTGATCTTCTTGCAGCTTTCGTCCAGGTAAGAGTACTCCTCGCTACCCAGTGCTAGGTATTTGGACTTGGGGATTATGGTAAGGTTTTGTTTATCGGGGATGGAATATATGTGGATTAGGTCAAATGTGTTAGCATCGACAGAAGGTATTACTAAAATAAATGTTAATGTGTGTTCTGTGCTGTACGCTTTTACGGTAATAGACTTTTCAATATTATGAATATTTTTCATATTAATGCTATCTACTGCTTTAAAGTTATTGGATTTCTGCATGTTTTGGATTTCCTCTATTAAGATCTGGGGTGCTATTATACTTGGATGCATTACGCCTAACTGTGCAAAAGTTATCGCATCTTCTAAAACTATGAGCTTATCTAAAAGAAGCTGTAAACTAAATTCTATTTGTATATATAAGTCTAAGAAGTGCATGCGATTTAAAACTAGATTATTACTAATGGTGGCATTCTTCAATAAATTACCTAGTTTTTTCTCATTTTCATTAATGATCTGTATTTGTTTATTAAATTCACCTACTGTATTTTCGGCTAAAAATAAGGACTTTTTCTGTGAATTTTGAATTTTACTAACAGAATGACGTAGACTGCTTATCTCATTTTCAAATTTAACGGCATCTTCGTAATCTAAATTTCCAGTAATTGCTTTGACAACAGATCCTAACCCATTTATTATGCCACGCTTAACTCTATTATGGGGTGCAATAAACATAATTTTCTTACCAATTAAATTAAGACTAAATTCTATTTGATCCTTGTATGTCCTATAGTGGATATCGTTGCTACCAGGTGTTAGACTACTCTCGGCACTTTTGGTACTAGCATAGAGTGAGATAATCCGAGATGTGACTTCATGTAAGTACGTCACATTATATGTACAGGCCAGAGCAAAAGTGTCGACCTGCTTAAGGATTTGACCTTGTTTAAGTAGCAATACTCCATTGTCATTATTTACTGGGTTAAGGGTCAAGTTGGCTGCTGCGATGAGCACACAGGCTCCTGCGATGAGGGTCCTGGAACAAGATGGGGTCTTCGTAGAAGCTTATAATGTACCCTTATAGATTTTGAGTTGGGATGGTTGCCTATAATTTCTGCAACGTTATTAGGATGGAGATGGATTATTTTGTATGGGCCTTTAAATACAGGCTTCGTCTTGTCGTTGCGCGCCGTCTTAGCAACCTGCTTATAAACTATTTCACCTACCTTGAAGGTGATCTCTTCTGCCGCCTGGTTGCGCTTTGCTATTACCTGTTCTTTGTTCCTAGACATGTGAGCTGCTAAGCACTCCTGTACAGCCTCAGCGTTTTTACGATGTTTAAGAACATAGTCCTGGTAGAATTCCTTTGGATAAAATAATTCTAAGGGGTTTCGGGAAGCTGTGTGCCCAAACAATAGTTCTCTTGGTGTATAGCCCGTTGCAGAGTGAATTGAATTGTTATAGGCTATGACCGCATAGTTCATTATTTGTTGAATTGGGTCGTCCTTATTGGTCATTCTTTGTATTCTTATAATCTCCCCAATGGTTGAATGGAATCGTTCAATGGGAGAGTTAGAATTTGGATTATACGGTGTCGTAAAATGGATATTAATATCGTGTGAAGCACATATTTCTTTAATTACGTCATTATCGAATTTAGTATCTGAATCAGTTGTTATTTTTAAAGGTAGACCTAGTACTGAAAATGCTTGAATTAGAGCTTCTGCAATGTGTACACTACTTGCGGCGTTTAAAGGTATCGCTTGAGCAAATTTTGAAAAGTTGTCTATTATGGTTAGGAATGTAGCACCTCCAGTAGAATAGAGATCCATGAATAGATGCTCCAGGGGTTTGGAGGGAGTTTGTGTTAAAGCTAGTGGGGGTTTTAGGGGATTTCTTTCATATTTAGTTTTTAAACAAATATCGCACTGGTTGATGTATCTTTGTACTGATAGTAACATATTAGGCCAGTGATAGTTCCTATGGAGTTGCTTATGTGTCTCTTGAATACCGCGATGCGATGTTTTGCCTTCGTGGTACCGTTTAATAAGCTGTTGCTGCTCTGTTTTGTTCTCAACTAAAGTAACACGAGAACTACATCTTATTAGTTTCGGTCCTCTATCATTGAAAATGGTCGTGTATACCCTTGAAAAAGCCAAATATAGATGTTCTTCGTAAAAATAGCAATGAAAAACACGATCTGCTATTGTGTGTTCTTTGAGGAACCTAATTATCTCTGCTTCTGTGTTATTTATAGGAATAAATACGTCTTTGATAACGATCCTAGTGCTAGTCGACCTATTTTCAACTCTATACTCCGAACCTGGGGTCGATCTTATGTGAAACTGTTTGAGTTGTCTGTCAATAGCATCTGATAAAGTCGGAATACCTACGTTATCATTATCAGGTTGCGTATGGTTGGTGGA